TGAGTGAGTGAATGAATGAGTGAGTGAGTGAGTGAGTGAATGTGTGAGTGAGTGAGTGAGTGAGTGAGTGAATTGATGGTGTGGCATTATTGGAAATCCACAAGCCAGCCACTCAGTCAAGGAAGGAATAGGTTGAACCGCTATAAGCGGAGGTCCCAGGCTCAGTGCGCTGGCTCCCAGAATGATCTCGAGGCGAGGCAGAAGAAAGTCGCCGTGCACACCCAGGCTGGCTCTGACGATGCCCCACTCACTGGGTCATCAGACTCCCAGTAACTTGAACCATCCAGAACACGGCTTTGAGGCCAGAAGGAGAGTCACGGCCTCCAGCTGGGGAGCCCCCCCCCCCACAAGGGCAGCTGGTCCCTGGGGCCCTCCCCCGGGCAGCTGAGGGGCACGTGTGTAAAATCAGGCTCATGGCTGAACAGGTTTGGTGTCTGACTCCCCTCAAGAGCTGACTGGGGCCGGGGCTGGTGCTCCCCGGAGTCAGACAAATTGTCCTCAGCTCTGGACAGGGGGAGGGGACAAAAGAGCGATGGAAATCATGGTGAAAAGCAAAGAAAAAATCAATCTGAGCTGTTTAGGGTGTAAACAAATCCTTCCTCCCCCAACTCCCCACCCCCACCCAAACCAACGTCCCTCCTTCCACAGCACCAAAGAAGCTGCTGAGTCCTCGCCCCCTAACAATTCTAGTCTGGCCCCAAGTCATCAGACGATGTCCGCCGTCCTCTGTTTAATGGGGCGCAGGGGGACGGTGATGAAGGAAGCAGGGTGTCTCATTTTGGTGCTTGCCGATTTGTGTACTTTTGTCCGCATTATTCTGGTTTTGGTTTGGGGAGACTAATCATTACCCATTACCCAGGAGGTCAATAAGGAGAAGTAAAAATAACATTGGCATTGCTGCTGTGTGGCAGGGGTAGCAGGGAGAGCTGAGCCCTGAACCCGGGCTGGGGCTCCACACTCAGGCACTGTTCTTTCTCCTCTGTCATGATGCCTCCAGAGCAGAAGATGTGGGTTCAAATGCCAGCTCAGACCTTTCCTAGCTGTGTGCCCTTGGATAAGTCACTTCATATCTGTCACCTCACCTGTGGTGTTGGGAGCTGGGAGGGAGAGTGGAGGACTTCCTTCTCAGCGTGGGGAGCGTGCATTCTAGAAGGATACCACAGCACCACCGTGGCTACCTTATTCTGATGCTCAGATTGTCTTCCTTTCCCCACAGGGGGATTTGGGACCTGTGGGACCTCAAGGGCCAAGGGGTGCTCCTGGACTCGGGACTCAAGGTGACCAGGTATGTGCGATCTTTCAGGAGAAATCCCCTTCCACCGAAGGCCCTCCTGGAGGCCAGATTCTGGAATAGTGCTGCCCTGGATGTCAAAATATCTTCCCTCCTGAGGCCCAACACATGCAGACATGGGGCTGGGATTCAGGAACATGGGCCATGGGTCCCCGTGGTGAACCAGGCCCTGTACATTCGCAGCAGGAAATCTCTGTTCCTAGGGCTGCTGCCTTTCCTGCTGGGCAAATCTGCTCTCAGGATCTCTGCTCCAGCTTGCAAGAAAATCCCTGTAACTCCTAGGTGCTCCAACCCTAAGGCAGTTCTTACCAATGAGCTTCCGGGAGAGGAGATGTCTGGGCACTGACTACCTCCCTGAGGTGCAGTGTGCTGCCCCAGAATAAGGGGAGTGAAGAGGAGTCTAGGAAGGGCTAAGCCGGTCTGCTAGCTCAGGTGGACAGACCGTGGGGAGGGGCAGACCCCTTATGTTCCTGCCCGCCAGTGGTCTCGGAGACAGCTCTGTCACTGGGCACCAAACCCAAGTTGTCTGTTCTCTAAATGAGGTGCCAGCACTCACGTCCATACGCTGTGGGGACAGAGATATGCCCAAATTGATTGGGGAGTGGAGAATTTCCCTTAAACATGGAGAGCAAGATCGAGACAGAGAGAAAAAAGAGAAGGAAAAGAAAGAAAGAAAGAAAGAAAGAAAGAAAGAAAGAAAGAAAGA